GTACTAGATTTGTACTTCACCAGACAAAACTGAATGGAAAGGGCACTGATGAACTATCTCATTGAAGGGAATGTTGACTTTGATAGTGAAGACCAAGGACTACAGCGGTACAATTTGAAGACGACGGTAAAATTCAAGGATGAAGAAAACAAAATACAAATTCTTTGTGTTGGCAGTCCAAGTCAAAAACCAACCAAATGTGTCCTATTACTTGGAGAAACTGGTGCTGGAAAGACTACTATAGTTAATGCATTAATTAACTTTATATTTGGTGTAAAGTTTAAAGATAATTTTCGTTTGCAGATAAAAGATCAGAGTGTTAGCATGGATAGGAGAGATACAGAAAGTCAAACAGATTTTGTCACTGCATATCTAATCTACCATCAAGAGGGAATGATGTGTAGCTTCAACTTAATGGTAATAGACACTCCAGGATTAGCAGATACCAGAGGCATACAACATCAGGGAAATGTCATGAATCAGTTGGAAATATTTTTAACATCTGACTATGGAATAGATGATCTAAATTGCATTGGGTTAGTTGCCAAAGCAAATACTAATAGAGATTTCACATTTCAAAAGGACATATTGAGAGAGATTATTTCACTACTTGGTAATAATGTGCCAGAGATTACCCAACTTTTTGCTACTTTTGCAGTTGAGAAGCCCATGGTTGACCAGATTATTATAAATGCAGGAGTGAAATTCAGTGATATGTTTGAATTTGATAATGGGATCCTCTATACGTCTTACAGAGCTAGTTCTGTACGTAAGAGAGATCAAGATATGTTTTCATATAGGTGGGGAATTATGACTGAACAATATGAAAGATTTTTTGCTGCATTTTCAGAAGCCCCACCTGTTAGTGTAAAGCTTTTACGTGAAAGGAAACTTTTTGATAAAACTTTAAAAATATTAAGGAAGCAAGTTGAGGAATTAGCTAAGTTACTTACTACCTTGGAGGTAAATAAGAAGATATTGGTTAAATATGAATTACAGGAAGCAAAAAACAGAAACTGGAGGCAAGAAAAAACTATACGAAAAAAGCATAAGCTGAGTATAGAGAATGGCTTTCATGCTCATAATTGCCCAGAATGTAATCAGACATGTATATTCCCATGTCCCCCAGAGAAGGACAATAGTAATGCAAGTTTTATTGGAGGGATAGCAGGTGCCTTAGGTGGAACAGCTGCTGGGGCTGCTGCTGCTCAGGCTACTCTGAATAGTGCAGTTGCTGCAGCTAGAGCTGCTACTTCTACTGGGATTGCTGCATCAGTTGGAGGCTGGGTGACAAGGGCTCTAGGGGGAGCAACAGTTACAGCAACTGAAGTTGGTGCTGCTGGTGGTGTCCCTGGTATTATTGTTGGTGGTGTAGTAGGTATTACTATTGGTGTTGTAACTGGGACATGTTGTGGTAGATTTCTTCGTCCAAGTTCTTGTCTTCCTCCTGGAAGAGGGGATGTATGTGGTGAATATGGATGCTTGCATTCTTTATCACAGCACATCACGGAACAAGAAAGGATTGTGGAGTACAGTGAATTAGAGGTGAAGATAAACGAAGATATGAAAGAACTTTATGATATAGCCGTGTCTAAAAAAAATGATGAAAAGGTCAAAATTACAAATGGTAAACAGAAAATACAAGCAGTGAAGACAAATGTTGTTCAGAACACATTACAGATTCTGCTTCATGCACAGAAAATACAAGATCTGTCTTCATCGTTAGATCCGACAGATATACAAGATTTTCTTGATAAATTGATTGCAGAGGTACGGCTGGGTGAGCCAGATCACATCCACCATGCAGTAGGAATTCTTCGTATACTTAAGAAGGCTATAAAATTGCTCCAAAGTTGTGAAGGGGATCATACCCAGACAAATTTTGATAATGTAATGAAGCTTTTGATAAATCTGCCTCAAGAGCATTAAGAGACTTTTATACTTTTGTCACATACTGAATTCCATTTACAGTATATCCTATACTATATACTGTCAACTTTTATTATTACATATAGTTATTCCAGTTGTTGATATAGACTATTGTGGTTCCCAATGAGGAATCATGAATTTTTGTTTACCATTTTGACTTTTTCATTTTTCATGCATTTTGAATGTCTTTATTCACAAGTCTAGCCATTGACTACTGGAGCATAAGCATTATGCTTTTAACCCTTTGGCTGTTTCTGTCATATATATACTTCTTACGAGCCACCGTGTTTGACGTATATACACTCAAAAATTCTAGCGGCTTCAAATCAAGCAGGAGAAAGCTGGTAAACCCACATGTGAGAGAATTGGTCTGTGTGGTCAGTGTGCACCATATAAAAAAAATCCTGCAGCACGCAGTGCATAATGAGAGAAAAAAGCTCTGACCGTTTTTTTTTTTTTTTAATTAAATTGCTGACTTTGTGGTCTATTTTCATATAGTATTTATGGTTGTATTCTTGTTTTCTTGGTTCATTTGATAGAATGGAAAACATATTATAGAAATAGAGGTGATTTTGATTGGTTTTACAATGAAAAGAACCTTGAAATGGAGCTCAAAGTAAGGAAAATGTTTGATTTTTGTCGATGTTCAAAAGTAAATAAATGATGTCATTTTCCAATAAATGTCCAAGTAGCCATTCTGATATGCAGTCATGAATATACAATTATTACAATATTGCAGTAGTCTGCATAACAGTAAATCTTCTAATTTTTGTTTGAATAAAAATTCAAAATAGGAAGCAAGAGTAATATCAGAGGGGCCTGGAGATGTGACTGATGAACAAAGAAAATGTTATTTTAGAGCCAGGAATGTCTGCATTGTTCATTCTGGACCCTATTTTGAAATTGTCATATTTTTTAATTTTCGTGAAATTGGCCAAATTGCAAATTTCTGACCACGTTATTGGGTAGTTGAAATCAGTAAATGGGCAATAGAAAAAATGGAGTTCTAAAGAAATAGCCATGAGTTTGGTCGACTGGAATAATGGAATTAGCCGAAAATAGGGCTCAAAGTGAGCGAAATTGCCAATTCGTAAATATCACTGAGGTTGCTAAATTCGCGAGAGCGTAATTCCGTCAGTTTTCCATCAAATTTCATTCTTTTGGTGTCATTACAATCGAGAAAAGATTCTCTATCATTTCATGAGAATTTTTTTTTTTTTTTTTCAGAAAGTTTGCTACACCAGGAGACACCTCAGGATTTGGGGTTGCGACAGTCGAGGGATTAAATATAACAGGAGCTTACTGCTAATACCACTTACTTATATTTGGGTGAGGATACAAAGCACATGGTGCTCCTCTCCGGCAATTAATTTGCCCAAAATACATTTGCATACTAGTGGCTTACTTTTGTGCCTGACAATGTTCTATTACATGTAACCACATTATCTTTGTACAATATAAAAAGAAATAAAAAATTTGAAGGCGGGGTGTTAATGTTGCAGTTTAACCCTTTGACTGTTTTCGACGTATAAATACGTCTTACGAGCCAATGTTTCTGATGTATATATACTCAATAATTCTAGTGGCTTCAAATCAAGCGGGAGAAAGCTGGTAGGTCCACATGTGAGAGAATGGGTCTGTGTGGTCAGTGTGCACCACATAAAAAAAATCCTGCAGCACACATTGCGTAATGAGAAAAAAAAACTGATCGTTTTTTTGGAATAAAACGCCGACTTTGAGGTGTATTTTCGTATAGTATTTATCGTTGTATTCGCGTTTTCATGGTCTTCGGTGATAAAATGGAAAACATATTACAGAAATAGAGATGATTTTCATTACTTTGACGATGAAAACGACCTTGAAACTGAGCTCAAAGTAGCGGAAATGTTCAATTTTTACCAATGTTCAGGAGTAAATAAATTACACCACATGTCCAATACACGTCAACTGGGGAGTCTAATATTCTTTCACTAGTGCACTGATATTATTTATACCATTTTTACAATAATGCAGTAGTCTGCATAACAGTAAATTTTGTATTTTTTTGTATGAATAAAAAATCAAAATAGCAATAATAATATAAGAGGGGCCTAGAGATGTGACTAATGAACAGAGCATATGTTATTTTAGTGCCACGAATGTCTACCTTGTTTATTCTGGACCCTATTTTGAAATTGGCATCTTTTTTAGTTTGCGTGAAATTGGCCAAATTGCCAATTTCTGACCACCATATTGGGTAGTCCAAATTAGTAAATGGGAGGTTTCTTGTACTCAGCTGATAGATAAAATGGAGTTATAAAGAAATAGCTATGAGTTTGGTCAACTGGAACAATGGAATTGGCTGAAAATAGGGCTGAAAGTCGGCGAAATCACC